TTAGTAGTACTATAGAGATAGAATAACAAATCTTTTACTTTTCTGTTCTATGACACATTCTGAAGTCTGAGAACTTTAAATCAGAGATAATGGTGATACTGATTCCATCACAGTTCATTCTCCAACTGTGAGGAATGTTAGCTTTGGCTTGCATTTGGAGTTTGATTTTTTTTTTATATTCCATTTATTTTATTCCTTTTCATTAGTCTACCTTTCAGCAATAAAAATAGCTTCTCTTCCCCCCACCTCTCTCACCTCTACTCCCCAGCTTAAGGAGATCCTGGTAAGATTAAGTCTCTCCCAGGACAGAGACTGACTAACATCTTTTGTTTGCATGTTTATCTTGGATGACTCAGCTTTCTCGCTCTTCTGCTTAATCGGGCTCCATAAAGGATGGCGTGCTAAGGGAAAGATGGCCATAATCTTGTAGGACTTCATCCAACTCAGAGCTCCAAGGGCTGCTATTATTACCTCAAGGCTTGGAGGATCTTAGTGTTTGAACTTGCATGCCTGGCTCAGCTGCTGCCTGTAGAGACTTGGTGACAGTAGAGGTGTGTATCTTTGGGGTACGCTTACAGGCTGTATAGAGAGCAGAGCATGTACTCACAGTGGTAGGCAGAACTTGATTGTGCTAAGATCTATGCCGTGAGGCAGCTGAAGAAATGCAAATTCAGCAGGAATGGTCAAATGGTTCCTATTACTGAAAGTCCAGTTAGTTTGAAGTGCCAAGCAGTTTGAGAGGGATTCAGACTGATGAGCATAAAGGGCATGATAAGGAGAGACTGAAAAAGAAAGTTAGCTGTCTTTAACCAGCTCTGGAAGGAGAGCATGGTGGAAAATGTACATAAAATAAACAGCTTACCATCTCTGTGGGTGCACTAAATACATACCACAACAGAGGATCTTGAAACAGACACGTACACACACCCCCCAAAAAAACGTGAAAATGCCATGAGGAGTTTTCTGTAGTGTAAGGAACTTCCTAGGAGGTATTGAGGGCCAAAAGCTTGTAAGGCTTGAAAATATATGTTGATGAAGTTTTAAAATGGCAACAAGTGTAGCAAAGCTAGAGTGGCTCTTGAGAATCTTCTGCCTTCTAAAAGCCAATACTAATTAGCAAAGATGAGGGAAGCAATTCCTGATAGAGTATGAATAACTCAACTAGAGCGAACCAGGACTTTGGTCACTCACTTTGAGTTAAGGTGCTGAGGCTGCAGGGTTGACTTCACATCACTTTGAGCTGGTAAGTTTGACTAGTCAAAAGGAGTGTGAAATGGAAAACAGGAGCAAAACACGTTCAAACCTTGCTTTGGAAGGGGACATGTAATTCCTAATTATAGGAGAATCTGCCTGGCTCAGTGTGGGAAATGCTAATGTCAACTGGCTTTCTTGTGTGGCTTTTTTCTTTTTTATGCTGTAGTTGGACAGGCATCTCAATAAGCAGCGTTGGCATCCTACAGTGTGCCCGCACAAGCATTTGTGTCCAGTTCATGGCAAACCAGACTGGGGAACTGATCCAGCTGGAAAACAACCTTTACCAGAAACAAAAGGAAGTGGTTTTGGTTTTATCCAACTATAAAAATTCCTTGATCTAGTTCTCTGTGTAGTAGCAAAAACCACTTGTGCCGTCATACTGCTGTGGGCAACAAATAGCCAAAGAAGAAAATGTGTTGGCAGTTACGGTGGCAGCTGAGGTGTATCCAACTGCAACCTAGAATGGCTTTCATTGGTAGGTGTGGTGATGGTAACATTTTTTCCACTTCAACATTCATTATGTTGTCGTTAGCAAGAAGGACTGCCCAGTAGGAACAGATCTGTAGTGTAAAACAGTACTGACGTCCACAGCGTATGCCTAGCCCGGTGGCATGCTTTGGGCCAGCATTAGCCTTGTGCAGCATGCTGAACACCGAACGGTGGCTGCAGTGCACCTTCTGGCTTTGCTTCAGAGTGGATTACTTCTGGGCAAGACTGGTCCACGATATGAGATAAAGCACATTAAAGGAGGATGAGGAGGGAATTCACTTCCAAAGCATGCTTCTGATCTGAACTAAAACTCCTACTCTTAGGGTTTGTGCTTGGTTTTGAGAAATGGAATTTCCTGATGGAGAGGAGTGGTAGAAACTGGGAGCTGAGAGATGAAGGCTTGTCTGGCTAACATCGCTTTTTCACCTCTGTCCCATGTAGCCCTTAAATACATACTTAAAAAATACCCTTCTCAATGGAGCATGTCTCATTTAAAAAAGCGTTGTTGGTGAGTGTGAGTTGCTAAAATGAGAAGCTTCTTTTGGAATTTCCATTTTACTTGTGTTTCAGAATTGATTGGGTTGCACGCTGTCAGAAAGGGCCTGAATGGTTGCAACTCTTACCACTTTTGGTGTCTAGTAGGATTTAAGAATGTGGATAGTTGTACAATTCAGTTTGATTCTGAAAGTGCCATGCTCATGTGATTTCATTTGCCTCCCCTTTAGCCTTTCATGCAACTGAATGTATTGGTTCATTAACTAAAGACTAATATCCTTCTGTCTATTTTCTCCTCATTCTAGCTTGTATTATGCTGACTTAAAATTTCAGTGAAACACTTGAAGATTAGAAGTAAGCAAAGTATAACTACATCGTAGTTAACTGATTACAGATCAAAACCTTGTTCCTCCCCTGTCTTTGGTAGTCTTATTGGATTTGCTTTTTTCCTTGAGGAAAAAAGCACACAAATTCTTATATGGCCCTTCCAAACAGAAAAGTAATTAAACACCTGCTG